CCAAGATAAATAGATCTTTTTTTCTAATTTTATTGTATACAAGCATTATAATTTATTATCAGATAAATGATAAATCAGAAATTATAAATGAATTCTCAATAAAAAATTTAGTTATAATTCTATTGTTGTGAATATTCAAGTGATGGTAGAAATGATGACTAACATGTATTATTCCCCTTTTCAATTATATTCTGAGACTCTCGCTCGAGAAGCTCTCATATTCAAAACCTGATTTTAGATCTTGATATAGTTTATCTCTGAGAGATATAGCATTCCCAAGATAAATAATTCTTGTTTTTCTTATTTTAAAGTTTTAGAAATTTTTATTGTATATAAAGCTAGATTTATCTAAAATTCTACTATTCATCTCTAGAGAAATGCACAATAATTCAAAAAGATAATAATGCAAGTGTTGGAGATAATATGATAACTTTTTATCATCATTAAATTTAAATATGATGTTTTTATTACCTTTATAAAATGGTGCACAAGCCTAAACACATCTACAGAATTGCTGCCATGCTTGAAAAGCAATTAAGTTTTCACAAAACCAAAGATCATAGACTACCAAAAAATAATAGGTTAGTTTTGAGAAATTATAATTTTAATTGCATATTGAGTTCAATTCTTTTTCTCTGAACTATAATAATGCCTCTAACATTCATAGTTTACTAAAGAATAATAGAATTTCTATTATGTGTCTGGTTTTACATTTTAAAACATACATAAATATCTATCTAACATGCTACCACATTTATATTAAACCTCATAATCTGACACTGAAGAATGGTTTAGATTATAGATTCTAAATTAAACTAATATTCTCTTTGATATTCATCCAAAGATAATAATTATATTATACATATAATTTTGTATTAAGACAAATCTGTATTACTGCTTCATGATAAAATTATGAATTCATGTCTGATATATAACATGGTATCTAATATGGTATAAGATATCTCATACACATACAAATATCAAATCCATTTCTTAATAATATATGAAAAATTAGCAAAGTCTTTTATATTTTTACGTAGTATTCTTGCTCATAACCTCACTTAAATCTACCATCAGCTTTATATGAGTTTCATCTTTTTTCTGAATATAAACAATGATTTATTTTCTATAGTTAAAACATATGCTTTACATAAGTCTTTTGATCTAGATTTTTTCTGCATATGTATTATCTTAATCCCTATCAGAAAACTAAGGAAGATGTCTTGTTAGTTCAAAATGGTAAATTAATTATTTAAAATAATTAAAGTTAATGGTTTCTAAATAAAGAAAAATTATGTGTCACAATTGTGGGAAAAATATAACTCCACTAGAAAATATAGAAATAATATTTTAAAAATATTTATATGAGATTTTTGATAAAATAAAACATATTAATACATCTATAATGCAGAACATACATTAACAATAGATCAAGAGTGTGTAAGACATTTTGTACCATATAATATAAAAGATAACTACTATGAAATTCAAATGATGAAGAGACAAAATACTTGAGAAGGAAAAACATAGAAGAAATTTTATACAAATAAGGATTTAAAAGGTTAAAAAGAGTGGTCTAAATGAACTTCTCATGGAAAAGAGTTTCAGGTTAAACATTAGTACAATAACTCCCAATTAAGTATCTAGATTGTTAGGAATAAATTTGAAAATAATAAACTATGATTTCTCAAGATTATATTTAGGTGATATCATCCTAGAAGTTATGATTATAAAAGCTTATGGATGTTATGACTTTGAAAGCTTTAATAAACCTTGAAACTTGAAACAATTTTATTCAAGATAGTCTCTAGCCAATGGATTTTAAATTATATAGAGAAACAAATTTAAAAAATTTCAGTTTATATATAAAATTGCCATTAAGATATGAAAAAAAATTTATATAAATGATAAAATTATTATAAACAAATAAAAATTTATATTTTTCTTAACTTAATTCAAGCACTTAAATAAATTTTTTATTATATTTTTATTTTAAAATATAAAATACTAAGAAATGTTAATATGTTATGAATTAATTTATTTTTCTATTTAGCAAAATTGTTGATGATATAAATATCCAAAACATGCACATACTTGAGGAAATTTTAAAAATGTCATTAGTTTTGGAGGATTTTTTTAATAAAAATTAATTCTTTTAAATCATATTTAGTCTTCAAGAGTAGAGCTTTCTACAATATTCATATTAAAATTAATATAAACCATAACTGTAAATATTACTTTTTATAAATTTTTTGATAAATAGTTGTTATACATGTGTTGGATGTCAATTATAAATTTTATATTATTTTAAAAATAAATTTAATATCAATATATTTTTTTTTACGTAGTAATATAATATATAATTATATAAATCTAACTTTTAATGTTCTTTAAAATTTGAGTATCCAAAATGTAATTTTTAATGCAATAAAAAAGAAGTATTGAGAATATAATTCAATAGTAACACTTTACTCAAAAATGATAAACTTAATAATACAAATTTCTTTTATAAAATAAAACTGTAACATTGAATAATTATACATTTAAATTATTTAATATGACATTAAAATAATGTATCACATTAAAACTATATTAATATTAATGTTTACATACTAATGTGTCGGATCCATGTTTATATTTAAAAAATTAATATTTTTTTAATCTAGCTTAATCAGTTATATTTATTATGTTATGATGTGTGCTGGTAAAAAGGGTCAATTGTAGAATTGATTTTTAATATAAATATTATATTATGTTTAACTATATACTTTATCATTATGATTATTTTAAAAATTATAATTACAATTACAACTCTTTTAAATTACTAAGAGATTAGGGATAAACACAATACGCCCAGTGTAGCTGGGACTTTAATCCCTAATTTTCATTGCTCCCAGCATTGATAATATTATTACAATATATTAAATGTTATGTTTAATTTTAATAATGCAATATCAAATTAATCAAATACTTTTTGTTTTATAAAGTTTTCATTCTATAGGACAAAGAGTATGCTTAAACATCTGCTGGGAGATATACCATACCCAATAGAAATAGACCTTCTCTTCTAATTTTACAATGTTAGAAATTATGATTGTATACAATGTTAAATTTATCTTAATTTTGCTACTATTCATCACCAGAGAAATGGAAAATAATGCAAGTGTTGAGGAATATAAGAACATTTTTTAATCATCATTAAATTTGAATTTAAATTTTTTTATTACCTTTATAAAAATCTACACAAACCTAAACACATCTACAAGTTTGCTGCCATGCTTTAAAAGAAATTAAGTTTTCACATAACCAAGGAATTATATACTACCAAAAATTAAAATGTTAGCTTGGGGAAATTCTAATTTTGGTTGCATATTGAGCTAAGTTGTTTTCATCTGAACTGTAGTGATTCCTCTAACTTTCATAGTTTACTAAAGAATAATAGAAATTTTATTATGTGTCTGGTTTTACATTTAAAAATATACATAAGTAAATCTATCTAGATATTCACATAGGTGTTTGAAAAGAGGTACATCCAAAGATAATAATTATATTACAGATATAATGTTTGTATTAAGACAAACCTGTACTAATGCTTTATGATAAAACTATGTATTTCAATTTAAAAATACATTACTAATAAATGATTCAAAACTACTTACTAATCAGCAATTATACAAAGGGGAACATACTGATTAAGCTAGATTATAAAAATATTAATTTTTTAAATATAAACATGGATCTGACACATTAGTATGTAAACATTAATATTAATATAGTTTTAATGTGATACATTATTTTAATGTCATATTAAATAATTTAAATGTATAATTATTCAATGTTACAGTTTTATTTTATAAAAAAAATTGTATTACTAAGTTTTTCATTTTTGAGTAAAGTGTTACTATTGAATTATATTCTCAATACTTCTTTTTTATTGCATTAAAAATTACATTTTGGATACTGAAATTTTAAAGAACATGAAAATTTAGATTTATATAATTATATATTATATTACTATGTAAAGAAAAAAATATATTGATATTTAATTTATTTTTAAAATAATATAAAATTTATAATTGACATCTAACACATGTATAACAACTATTTATCAAAAAATTTATAAAAAGTAATATTTACAGTTATGGTTTATATTAATTTTAATATGAATATTGTAGAAAGCTCTACTCTTGAAGACTAAATATGATTTACAAAATTAATTGTTATTATAAAAATCCTCCAAAACTAATGACATTTTTAAAATTTCCTCAAGTATGTGCATGTTTTGGATATTTATATCATCAACAATTTTGCTAAATAGAAAAATAAATTAATTTGTAACATATTAACATTTCTTAGTATTTTATATTTCAAAATAATAGCATTCTTTTATTTTCTTTCTTGGTTGAAATACTCCACTATCTGGTTTTTAACTAAAAGAATCTATACTATTTACTATTCAGTAATGGTTTATATATTTGTCATCTTTTAAAACCTATCTATAACACTTAAATTCTATTGCCACTATCTACATCCATTGGAGTTGAAGTGGGAATATGTTGATATTGTAAATGGATTTAGCATATATAACAAAAGCACCACAGGGGATTCTATCAAAGCGGCCAGTCGTGCATTCACATGCTGTGTCTTTATGTGAGAGGTGAGGTATCCGACACTCCTCTTTAAATTCTATCGTATTCTTTGTTCTCAAATCAAGCTTTGATCTAATGTATCTGGTGCTGGTTGTGTAGGTGAAGGACGCATTGATCACTGCTGTTAAGAAACTCAAAGGTGGAGATCCTCGCCAAGACGACATGTCCATCGGGCCCAAGATATCCAAGTCGACAGCAGCTATAGTGGAGAAGAGCATGAACGATAGACATAATCGGCAGGTGCCAAACTTCTAGTTGGTGGTAAGCGAAGGGGAGCTTTCATGGAGCCAATGATCCTGGAAGACGCTCCCTTTGACACGGACGCAAGGAAGGAAGAGATTTTTGGTCCCATGATCCTTCTCTACTCATACAAGTAAGCTCTCAAAGTTTCTTAGCTACCGAAGTTCTTATTTACTCTCTTTTTTTTTTTTTTCTAAACTAAAACGGTGGTGACGCAGTGATTTCAAGGAAGCCGTGAAGGAAGCTAACAACACACATTACGGTCTCCAATCTGGCATCTTTATGCATGATCTAAACAAGGCCTTCTATGCGTTTGAGCACATAGAGGTAGCTTTGAGTTTGAGATATAGAAAGTATTGATCGTTTGTTTGATGATTATTTGATCTTCACAGGCTGGAGGAGTTTGCCTCAATGATTCGCCAAGCATGCGCGTTGATAGCCAGCCATACGGTGGGATCAAAGACTCTGGAATCCAGTCAAGTACGCGATGGATGACATGCTCAAAACCAAGGTTTTAGTCATGTGCAATGTAGGCAACGCGTCTTACTTTTGATCAAGCTAGAGTTCGAGCTTTCGAGAAGAGTAAATACAGTCTATCCACAAATCATTGCCGAGTTGTCCTCGTTTGCTTGCTCGCTCTCTAGCACCATCAACCTTTTACCTTTAGGACGGAGAATGCTTGTCTATAAGCTCATGGGAGAAGGTCCATAGCTTGTGAGCGAGCTCGGGAGCTCTGCCATAAGCGCTACAGTTGGATTTGTTGGAATCCACGAAGTATTGCCCGGTGACGTCCTTGAGGCTTGGATGTAAAGCCGCGTAGCACGTCATAGCAGCGCCCTGAGAGATCGATCACGTATTAGTCATGAAAATCTTCCAGATAATTGGGAGAATTCTTCTTACCTGTGGCACATTTTTCCAAAGGAAGCTGGAGAAGAACTTGAGAAACCCTGCATGAAGATCAAAGTAAGTTCCATAAGTAACCGAAAACAATGACGAGGCAAACAGAAAAACTCATTATGTAGAATGTGTGCCGCATCAAAGGCATAATTATAAACCCTGGGTGAACAGTGTTGGCTGTGATGTCAACTCCTTTGGCATAATCAGTGAAAGAGAAAGCATTGACGAAAGAGAAAGGTGGGAGAGATTTCAAAGCATTAGATGAATACCTTGAATCTAATTGCCATCAAAGGTGTCATTATAAATCCTGGATGAACAGCGTTGGCTGTGATGTCAACTCCTTCGGCCTAATCAGCAAAAGAGAAAGCATTGGTGAAAGAGAAAGGTGGGAGAGATTAGACGAATACCTTGAATCTTATTGCCAGTTCTTTGGCGTGGAAAAAGTTTGCGAGCTTGGATTGACTGTATGCTCTAGTGTCAGAGTACCTTTTGGAAGAAAAAAGGAAGAATGTAAGCTCACGAGAAAAGAGAGTTGTTTGGCGTACCAGGTTTTGTCATTAAGGTCTGAGAACTGGATTCCACCACTGTAAGAGGCGATATGCGCAACGGAGGAGAGATTGACAAACACTTTCCTTAGTGGTCTCCTTCATTTTGTCCAGTAGCAAGTTTGTGAGAAGAAAATGGCCTAGACATCACAACAAGATAGAAAAGATACCTATGTATACACGGAAAATCATGGATTTCTTTTGATCAATTTCGAATTTTTCCTCATACCTTGTAAAGTTCCATCACTTTGGAGGTGATCTTTGAAGCATCATCCCAGGCATGGCCTCTCGCCATCTCCGGGCACAGCAATGGCCGGAGTATGTGCCGTCCCAAAGAAGTGTGGAGCAAAACTTGAGCAAATGGCGATATCTGGAGGAGCTCACCACGATCTAAACCACACCTTTGATCACCACCTTCACCACAGAAATGAAAATCCATGAGATGATCCAACTACAGTGGCTTGGAGCTTACCTGTGTTGAGCTTAGAGTTGTCAAGATATTGGCAGCTGCCATAAGAGCAAGCAATCCACTGTTGTCATGACCAACGAGCACGACCGATGAGAATTTTAGTTGCTGGCAAAAGCTCAGCAGCAAATCCACCTGCGAGCTCTAATCAGAGAAATCAAACAAGCAAGAACAACAGGAAAAAATTTCTTTTTTTTTTTCTAAACGACAATGAATAGAACACTCACTTGGGACTGGTGCTCGTAAAGATTGGGAAGACCATCTTTGTCATGGCCAGCCGGCTCCTCAGTCCCCAGCCAGTCCGATCAAACACAGCAAATAGAAAATTTCAGCACATAGAGAGAGAGAGAGAGAGAGAGAGAGAGAGCTCACAATCTGCTCAATCGCCCTAAATTTTTTCTCTTGATTTGGATCGTCATTTAAAAATTGAAGAGTTGCCACCCCTTTGGCACTTGATCTATGCCATCTATTTGAAGTTTTTGAATTTGAACTGTTAGATTATAAGTATATTCAGAAATAATATTCTAAAAATGGAATAAAAGACGCTGGATGCCATATGCCAATAGCACGTTTAAATAAGGGAGTACTAGCAAAAGTCCCAGCTACGCTGGGAGCATCGTGTTTATTCTTGATATTTTAGTATTTCAAAAAGTTGAAATCATAATTATAATTTTAATATAATCATAATTATAACATACATAGTTAACATAACATAATATAATATTTATATTCAAAATCCCTTCTACAAATATAACATAATAAATAATATAATAAATTTAACTTATAACATAATATAACATTTAAAACTCTGAGTGCTGCATAATCTTCTATAAATGGAATTTTTCACTGTGGGATTCCATGGCCAGATAAGTCAATTAAATATTGAGGCTTGGTAACTATTTTTTTATTTAAAATCTCCATATAATTGATCTACAATTTTTCCTCTTAATAAAAAATGTGTTTCTTAAGTACACTAAAGTATAATGATTTCAAAATTAAAGATTTAAAACTCACTTAAACTATATACATCTTATAAAATTAAAAAAATATAACAATTTTTATGGAATCTTATTTTTCATCTCTTTAGACTGAAACTTTTGGAATTTCATGATACTAAGTGATAAAATTACCTTTATGTGTTATATTTTTTAGAAGAATTTCAAAATTTTACATATTTATCTTTGATATTCCCTTATTCCTAATACTTATATTCTTACATTTTGAGAGTAATATTTAATATTAGAAGTATTCTACTTTATATCATTAGCATATTTCTGTATGTGTTTTA